CATGCCAGGATTTACAGTGCGTGAGCGTTTAATTACTGGATGTACTTGTGGAAAAGCATCTCTAAAGACAAGTTTTCTCAGATTTTAACTGTTCAAATAAATATGGACTCATTCAAATCGAAAACAATGTCATTTGTCTTCAGCACTCAACTATTACAAGCTAAAAAGGACTTTTTGGTTCATGCCAAGATGCCAGCGGTAATTCTTATTGTAGATTGCGTCATTCGGAGAAAACAGAGAAAACGGGGGAACTCTTACTCTGTATTCATAGTGGATAAACCCTTGTGCATGCTAAACTGGCTACAGACAATGGCTACAGGCATTGTTTGGCATGCACAAGGGTTTATCCGAAGACAAATGACACAGTTTTCCCTAGAGGTGCTCTGAGGAATGCTTAGTGGATTGTACTCAAACACGTCAAATGTGTCAAACGGTACATGTACTTGTACTTCGAATTTCACATGTGGTTAGGCCCTCACTGTATTAAGGGGACAGTTTCTTTGGTTAGGAGAGTTGGTCCCACAGTACATGTACACTGTCCATGTACATAAGAGTGAACTTGCATATGTACTGCACAGTGGTGTAGTCGAGACTATCACAAGACCGGAAACAAGACCAGATTCAACAGGAGATACAAGACTAGACATGCCACATACTGTAAAGCTTCTTACTCTTATTCAGACTGGAGGTCTTATGTTGGTCCTGTGGGGTCTTGTCTTTGAAGAGGTCTTTACTGCAATACTGGCTCTGTTTGTTTATCGTGAGATGATAGGCAAGATCATTTTTCATCTTTGGGGGGTTGTGTTTCCTCTTCTAGGGGGTCAGTTACCGATCAAATATTAATCGAGACATCTGAGAAAGAGGAGAAAGTATACAGTTCGTGAAACCACAGAGCAGAATGTTATTGATCAAGGTAGCCTGCACCTTATGTCTGTCAACCTTTTCCTTCATGATTAAAATGTGTCACTGGGTGGTGTGGCAGAGATGACGTTCCTCAGTTGCAAACTGCCCCGGTGGGTCTTGTTTAACGCACAAGAAATGAAACATATAAAACTTTCGTAGACAGGAATTGAAGAATTAGTCAGCCATCATCTGGACATACCGCCCCCCATGGATTCACTCCTTTTTGCCCCCTCTCCCCCAAAGACTTGCTTTTTCATGAAAGAATGATCATGACTCCAAGGCAGGAATCCGATATAACCGGCCGATGATTGAGGCTAATTTCATGTTCATTTTTCAGTTTTAAAGGTTGGATGTATGCACTTTTTTCTCAAAAACTGAAACTGAAGATTTTGGTTCATAAACTTGATATTTCAGCCTAAAAGCCCCAAAAGTTTTTGAATTATTGAATTTTTGAAAATTATCAGAAACGGAATAATTTTGTAAGCATAAAAATGATTTTAATCCTTTTTGGAATTGGCAAGTTATACCTCTGTATTAAAAACGCCCGATAATTTTTTCCCAGTCATTTGATCATAAAGAACAGTTTGACAAAATTTCAAAACAAAATGATGTTTACTTTACTATGAATTGTAAACAAACATTTTTACAAAAACTTTGGTTTCTGTGTTTCTTTGTTCATGAAGTGACAGTCACCCTGTTATCAGGTCAAAAGGGGGATCATTCGTTGTTCAGTCATTCTGGTTGAAAGGTAACATTAACATGATTAATGTAACAGTTTTCCACAAAGTGACAAAAACTCTACAATGTAATAGGGAAAAAATAAAAGCCTCCACATTTCCTGTTTGCACAAATTAAAAAAGTGTTATTAATAAATTACCATTTAAATTTACAATTACTGCAACTAAGTGTGAATTAGCAATAAACAAAATTTCACGACCAGCAGTGTCCTAAATCCATGACATTAAACTGGTCGAAAATGTGTCGTGGAAAAGGGATGACATTTATTTTTAATTGCTGTAATGTTGGATGTCTGTATTGCAGGAAATGGAAGGTTTTGTCTCGGTGGAAACACCTTGGAATTGCTCATGTGATGTGTAAATGAAAGTTTATAGCATAAATGCAATCTGCTCATACCATTGAGCTGACTTCTTGGCATCTTTAATAACTCTCAGAAAAAATTGTTGACAGTCATCCCTTGGTACCTGGTCACCTGTTGCAGATATGTTTTGTATATGGCAACTTTGTCTGTCAAGTTATGGCCGTCTCAGTGGAATGGTATCATCACTCATCTGGTTGGTCGACCTGATTTTGCAACTGCTAGGCTACCTAATTCATTTGAAGCACTGCAAAAAGCAGTGCTGTTTTAAGTATAAAATGTGGTCTTTCAGGTTTCATCTTAATTTATTTGTGAATGAGCAAATAACTGTCATTTTTAACTGAAAGTTCATGGATAACCCACCCATTTGAGTTTGTTTCCTGTAAAAGATTCCAGAGTCTGGCATTGCTGGAAAAGAAGTGGTACTTGCTTAATAACTATGATATTAGTTATTGAGCTTTATGTGCTTTTCTGAAATAAAGGATTACATTTCATGTATTTTACTGACCTCAGCATTAACCTTTTGGAAGCTGGAAGTCTAATTAAGCCTTCATTTATGGTAAGGAACATTGGTAAAAGAAAAAGGAATTTGAGGGAAAAGGGTTTGACCCGTTTTGGTACAAACAGAGGAACTGGCCGGTAATCTGCAGGTACAGGGCACCAGTCTTTATCATCGGCCTTCCCGTTGCTGACAGAGACCCCAATGAAGCAAGCAATGATGTTGTGTTCATTAACGCTTTGTCATCGGATTGATGCGAAACTCGGGGCAAATTTAAGCCCGCCTGATTGACAGGTTAACTGATATTGCTAGGTCAGCACATCCTTGTCTTATTATGTTCTGCGTGCGGTTTCACCTCTGGGATTTTGTTTTGGGGAAAAAAGAGACTAACTAGACTGAGCAATTGTTGCACTTGTAAAGGTTTCAAGGGACATTTAAATTTTTTCCATCAATTCTTGGCACAAAATCCTAAGCAAAAGTTTGCAGGTAGTTCTAATGAAAACCTGCCCTCTCATAAGCATGGGCAAACACGCTCTCATGGAGTCACCTCCTTGCTTATGTGCTTGACATTAAGAACACCACTCAGGCCAAAATTAGCATTTTCTGACATCTGTATCTGATTCACGGTGACAAGCTTGTTCTGGAGTAATTACTGTAAGGAATGTGTCACTCTCTTTTGCTGGAGATAAGCTGCTATAGAAGCTGGTTTGTCTCTGTGAATGTTGGACATGTACATGTTCCCACTATTCACTGGAATTCCGTCAGCTGACCCCTAGCAGGCTTGATTGTCAAAAAGTAGTTGATGAGTCTGCACTTCCAAATTGGAGGTTGCTGTTTTGAGTCCTACCCAATTCAGTTTGTGAAAACTTTTCCCTTCTGCTATCAGAAGCCACCGAACCAATAGCATGTCTTATACAATGTTGAAAGCCTTGATTGGAAAAGCAGTCCCACCTAGTAAAAAGGGAATTTTTTACAGGGATGTTAAAATTTTTGGATTTATTTTTCAAGGAGGGTGGGACCGCAGTCAAGTTAAATTTCCTGCTTGAAAATTAATATTAATCTGTTATTTTCCAAGCCTCGATATGGCTACTCATTAGAGCATTTTGTTCTCCAGCCTGAGTTTCCCCCTCACTGGTGTACGAATCTATTATCAAATTCTTTCATCGCCATGACGATAGGCCACATGGCTAGCCTTGGCTTGAATTTCCTGTGTAGCATGCACAACAGATCCATCACTGCCCCTCTGGCCATAATGTTTTGTGAACTCTCTGCTTCAGACTTTATAATTGACACGCATGTTAACCTTTTGAAGGGCTAATTTATTTAGACATGATGGAACATTAAGCAGGCCCCTGCGAAATTGTTGGAGTCAGGTTTCATTACACAAGAGTGGCAAATCACTTGAATTTTCTGGGGTAACAGGGCAAGAAGCCAGCTTATTTTTCAACTTTGTGCATATCCATTCAGACAATATAATTTTCCATTTTCACCCTCTGTGATTTTGCACGGACACAATAAATTGTGGAGAGAAAAATTAAAGGAACCAGGAAATAATTTTTTTTTTATAAAGTTTACTAAAAACCCTTGAAACTGCATCTTTGGGTGTCAATTAACCTTATTTTAAATTTTTGTTTTGCAATTTTAACCCACATTTTCATGCTTTTTTGGTTTTATGCTAATGCAAATTTGCATATTCATGAGCAGAACTATGATGTTATCCAAGGAACTGAATCTCAGTGTTGCACTGATTTTTGCACCGCCTGAGATTTTTTTAACCACTGCCATGGTAGATTTCATTTTCTATGGCAGTTTATTGCTGTGTAAGTATATGGCAACAATCCAACAAAAATCCTTTTCACAGAAATGTTCCCAGATAGTAAATTTGAGGTTCACAATTTGAATATGAAAACATGCAACGCGAACCATGTCTTTCTGGATTTACATCAAAGCAAAAGTGCCCTCACTTGTCCAGAAATGCTTGGTCAATTTTTGATGTTTGAAAAAGGGCACCGTACAGTTCATATAACTCAAAAAAGATCTCAAACAGTCTTCATACATGGAAGAAGAGAACAGAGATACACAAAAAGTAATTCTTAGAAAAATTCATTTCCTGGATCCTTTAAGCAGTAAAATCTTGGTGTGTTCATGAAGAATAAGAACATTTTTCTTACTTTTTTACTGTTGTAAAAATTTATAACATGGCAAAAGTAAAATGTGTATCCCAGCATTACATTCTAACCTTTAGTTGACATTCAAACAAAAAATAAATATTATGTCAAACATGTCACACACTCTGTCCTGTCAGATTCTCAACACCCACATATGAGCAAAATTTGTCCTTAAACTAGTAAGGCTTACACTGAAAGACAAAAGGCAAAATTGAATTCCAGACTTTAGAACAGTTGCCACATTGTTAAGTTTGGTCACATTATTAGTTAATTCCTACTTCCGCTTACAAAACTTTCAATTTTGAAGTTTCGATTCTTTTGATTCTTTGAGCAGACGTAGGGGATCTTTATTTCTCAGCTGTTAGCAAGGAGGATGAAGGAGACTACTTCTGTGTAGCAACCAATGACTACATTCCTCAAAGTGTCACATCTCCTGCAGCAACTCTTACCGTTCGAGGTTTGTATTTCCCATAGAAATACCATACGTGTTGGAGTTATTTACAACTTCAACAACAAATTTTGGCATATACCCAGCAAGATACGGAATGGAGGGGTGCCCCCTTCTACAAGTCAAATCCCTATACACACTCTAGGTTATTGTTACTTAACACATCCCCCAGATGTTTGAAAAGAATTCCTGAAATTCTGATATAACAATGACCAACACAAAGGGGGGGGTTCTCTCCATTCCATATCTTGCTTCAAATGTTTTGGCAATAGAGTAAGTCACAGTCAACTCTACACAATGGGTTTGTATTTTTTATGAAAAGTTCTGCGTCTGTTTTCATTTCCATAAAAGTACTGGTTCCATTAGATCCTGCTGCCGTCTCTGGAATAAGACTAACGAATTGAGGAAGTGCAAATGATACAGTTTGTTATTTTGACATTTTTCATTTGTGAGTAAAGACTAATTCTGTGACCAGAATAAGAATCTGTTGTTACTGCGATGGCACCACGTTTATGGACATATTGTAATTGTAAGTTGTACATGCCCCTACGACAAAAAGGGGGATAGTTGCTGTCTGAAGTACATGTAAGTGCGAACACCAGTCAAATTTAGGCGTGCATGCATAGGAATACCAATGCACTCATGACATCTTCTCTCATGAGTCTGTAATGAAAGGGATGTTTGATTTATAGAGTAACAAATATGGGGCACTGCCTGACCCATCAGCTTGGCAGAACCATGATACAACTAAGCAGATGTCATGATGAAGGTCTGAAGAGCTAAGAACTTTAGATTAAGTTTTCTCTGCTCGGATAAAAAAGATGGCCAGCCTCTTTTTGCCTTTGCACCCGAGGTTCTCTCAGCTCTGCAAATGTCAACAGTTGGAACTTCCGGGTCAAATTCAAAAGATGGGTCAGAAAAAAAATCAATTTATTTGCGGTCTGAATGTTGTCATTTCTCAATTACATGTATATCACAATCTCCACTCTCAGTTGCTGCATCCATAGTAGTGCCACCAGAAAACAAAGAGGTCATTCTGGGGGAGGACCTGACATTGACTTGTGAAGCCAGGGGGGACCCCACCCCTAGTATCATCTGGAAGAAAGATGCAGCAGTGATTTCAGCAGGAGGGAGAAGGACAGTTGGGTGAGATGACAGAGCATTATCAGATCATTTCCCTCAGGGAAGTCGCAGGCTGAGGCAATTTTGATCAAGGACCACTAGTTATAACTACATGTAGTTGTTGATTCGTGACGTACCTGGCGCATGTGCAGTGAAGTTAAAGTGTGAACGACCCCAGTCAACCATTGTCAGGTTGTTAGGCCGAAGGACAGAAAAGGTAGCTGCCGGAAGGGCAAAGAACAAAAATAACAGTGACAGTGGCCGTTCACTAGTGACGTACTGTTTTTCCGGCATGTTTTTTATAGCTGGTCCTCTCTGCACTGTGCTATTTAAAATGGTTTATGGCAACCAAAAATGTGACCAACCTTGGTAGGCTGCTTATGAATAGTTGACTAGACTAGTCCAACCATCATTGACTAGCGTGCATTCGATCAGAGATAGTCAAACAATAGTTAACTATGGTCCTTGATCAAACTTTCCCATGTTTGAAAGATTTGTCTCTCCCGATTAGTAATTGGGAAAATTATGATCCCAGTGAAAGTTATAGTATATTTACTCAGGAATGCTGTATTGATACCTAGATATTTGTCTTCACAAATAGGGTTACCTTTCTGAAAACTGGAGTGAGTTCTTGTGTGGATATATGATCATAAGCCATTGCAAGAAACGTTTCAAACTTTAAAAACAGATGCGAACATGCAATTTTGTTGGTCGCTCTTTGTTTTGCCTACAATTTGTATGGGCAGCCACATTTTCAGAAAAATTACACGTTAGTTGTCTTTCAGTATTACCTCAAATTTGCTAAAAATGTTCATTTGTCTCATTAATTTAAATAGGGTTGTATTTTAATTTATTAGTTCTTTATGTGCATTATTATTTGGTGTTCTGATAGCTGCTTTGGAGTTTTAATATTTTGTGAATAATTCTTTAATTTGGTACTGAGGCCAGCCATAGTTATAGCAGCCACTTATAGGAAAAACACAATTGTGACGTCAAAGAGCAGACGGTATTTTTAATGAGAATGTTTTACTCTGCATTTGAAAAAAAGTGCTCCTATGTTTAATGTGAACTAGGGCAAAATCATATCCAGGTATGAAAACAACCAAACCGTTCCACAGAACAAACCCTTATACAGTCCAACCTTTTAAAAGGCCTTCAGAGAAGGCTTAGGACTGTTGACTTTGATATTTTTGAATGACCTTTCCCTCAGAAACTCTGGTCAGCTGTTGCACATTGGCAGCCTCATTGGACTGGACCAGGGAACCTACACTTGTGAGGTGTCCAACACGTACGGCACAGATTCAGCATCAGCATATGTTGATGTACTTGGTATGTTCAACTTTTTTATTTCAATTTGTTGACTCCTTGAGCTCTTGCTGAGTGCTGCTCCAGTTTCATAAATAGGTCAAAATTTTGTAGCTTCAAAGGTCTTGAATTTCTTTGTACAGCATTTTTTTTCGTACAGATGCTGTAAAGCAGGAAGCACAACAGAGAACATGATATTTGAAGAATAAGATTTTACTCCAAGCAGTCAATAAGTGTTGTCTCTTGGAATTTACATGTCTATAAATTTTGAAATGCATTGAGTTCAGACAATTTGTCAACTACATGTACAGTAAACATGTATAATATTTGGGCCCCAAGAATTTAACTGGCTGCTGTCTACATCTGTTTTCTTCAAAGATATGCCATCCCAATTTAATATTGTCATATTGAGATTAGATGGCCAGTTTGCAGTACATAAATGATTCAAACGGCAGTTATATGTACATATCTGTGTATAATCTACAGAACATGTTTTTTCATTAAACGTAAATTGGAAAAGACAGTCCAAAGTCTCAGCATGTGTGCATGCACATTCTGCTAGTCAGTGTTGCCAAATCTTGTAAATTAGTTATGGGATCTGTCCTTTCCGTTGGAGGAAATCCCCATAAGCAGATTGACAAAATGTGCCTAAACTACTCCCCGGCCTTCTGTCTTCCGCTGGTTGGCTTTTGTCAAATCTACAATAGGCCCCCCAAAATATCATCGCTGACACATTAATCTGCGGAACACTTGCTCTTCCCCCCACCCTACAACCCACGCCTGTTGACAGTGACTGAGGCAAATGCAAAACCATATGGAAGACAAAGAAAGTCTCTGTGACAATGACACACTTTGTCTGACAACTGTCTCCAGTTTAATACAAGGAAGTAGGGATCTGTGACAGAGGAGACAAGATGTACAAGCACTGGTGTGGCTGTCTGAACCCCTTCTGTTAATTTCAGTTTGAGGCATTTCCCGCTGTTATATAGACTACCCTGTATTTGTCAACAGCTGTCCCACGCCCTCCCCCAAAGAATCAAATTTAAATTTGTGTAACTGCTGCTTCGGTATAGTCTTGAGTGATTAAAATTTACACTGTGTTCTTTTAGAACTGGGCTTTCTTTCTGTTAATGCTGGTGAGGTTATTTGCTAAGTGGTCTGCTCTGTAACTTAAAATTGCCACTTTTATAAGTCCTAAATTGTGTAATTAATTATGTTGTAATTCACCAAAAATTGGTTCTCTAAACTTAACTTATACTGTGCCTCTGCTTATCATTTGTATGCTTGGTTTTTGGTGGAGTTGTTAAATAGTTTAATATTCTAATATGACTGCTGTACAAAGCTTGGTTTGTGCAAAGAGCTACTGGTATTGTTGCCTACAACTTGTTCGCAGAAATATCATCTTTCACTAGGTGTTTAATTTTACCTCCAATTCGTTCAAAATGGACATTTGTTTCATTGATTTTTGAATAGGGTCGTATTATCTTTTAGTACTTAGCCGTACATGTAAATGTATTATTTGATGTTCTATACCAGCGGCCAACCATAGTTTTAGCAGCCACTTGTACCGGTATATAAACACGACTGCAATGTCAAAAGAGCAGACCCTATTAGAAATGGGGTATATGGAGTTGGATTAAAATTGGTTCTCCAGCTTGTAAGGTTATGCACCTCTGCTAATTCATGTATTTGTAGATAATACATGTATTTGTAGATAATACATGTACATGTATTTGTAGATAATACATGTATTTGTACATGTAGTTGTACGCTCGATTTTCTTGTTCAGTGTTAAGGCTGTTCCATCTGAAGACTGGGGAATGTTAGAAAATTATTATTAAGCAGTTTAAACTTCTAATGTAACTGATGTATGCACCAGGGTTTGTGCATGGAGTTTTATTAGAAATTGGCTATGCGGAGTGGGATGACTACTGCAGTAATGAAGCCTGCTGCAGATGTCATAGACTAATGCATAATGCGTTTTTCTAGGCATTTTCTGATTACAGTATATTATTCATATATTTTAGGGACTTGTTTCATTGGAATCATAATCTGGAATAATTTTGAACACTTTGCAAAATGTTGATTATGCACGGTCACTGCAATTTAACTCTTAATTGCGCTGCTTGTAAAATTTCAACCATACGCCAGCATTAGACTCTTTAACTTGGAATGTGTGACGTCTTCTCCCAAGACGTCTCAACCACTTGTCGTCATACAGTCCTTGGCAGTCAGCACTTCCATCAAAGACACAAGCCTATAAACTAAATTATGCCAAATAATGGGGCAAATTTGTGCCAAGTTCAAACCTCAATCAGTGCGATAGCATTCATCTACACATGTATGATAACCTATCACACCCTGTTCCGCTCGCGGAGGGAAGCAATCAATTAAGGGCCAATCATCTGTGGGAGGAAGTCCCCCCCCCCGCTTCTCCTGAGAGTACTGGCATTCCGTAAGGCTGGCGTAGCGGTGACAGTGTCACAGCTTAGGTTAGATTCACCCAGCACGTAGAGCAAGGGGGGGAGCCTCGCTAGGGTAGGTGACTAAATCCCCGAAGCAACTCTAACCAAAAAAAACCTGTCGTCAGAGAATTACACTGATTGCTTAAATGGGGCATGTGGGGGGAAGCGTGAATCATTCCTTAATTGCTGCTCGTTGGTAGCGTGGGTTCTGGAATTATTGCGTGGTTGCAGTCTTCCTCATTAATGAGTGTTGCATAGTCAGTTCATAATGGCCAGAAGTGAACTCTGGATTACTCCGCTGGTGATCACTTGTTTTGCTGTATCGAGGGGTAAGCATGTCCAAATTACTTATGATGAATTGAAATCAAGTGGTAAAATACAAGTGTTTTGTTGGTAAGCCGTTATTGCTTTATTCTTTCTGCAGTGGAGTAACTCATTAAGGTGGCACACAGCCAGGGCTCATGAAGCTGTCATCAGTGTCTGTCCTAATAATTGAAATAAATTTAGTTATGACAGTGTGTGGTAATAGAGCATGTTTCCAGTTGGCTTCATGTATGCAGGGAAATGGGTTACATTCTCAACTACTTGAAACCCTCTTGCTTACACTCACAGAGAGAAAAATATTTCTTTTTGCATGTAACAGGCACCCAATCCTCGATGGGAAGTGTTCTATTTGTCGGTAGCTATGTATGCGACCACAAGCCATGCACGTTATAGTCATTCGCAAACCAGCAAAGTGTGGTTCCCACCATAGCAGCCTCCACTAGTAGGAAAACTGCACCCTTTCTTGGCCCCCATTGGGGCAGATTATCAGTGCAGGACACGCTTTTAATCAGACCTTGCACGCATTTGCATTTTTGCCTTGTATTTCTCTGAAACAGCGTCCAAATTAAGGCAGATTTGCTTGACAAATTGGAATCTTACATTTTTTCGTATATGATGTGTGATTTTTCGTATATGATGTGTGATTCCAGTTTTCAGTTGTGAAGTTCCATCCACACATGTTGCATTCTTGTATTGGTATTGTGCAGAGTTAGCAAATCATTTTAAACTCAAGTACATCACAGTACAAAATGTTCACATTAACCACGTAGGGCCGTGATCTGCATGGGAACACTTCTCACCTGTTTTATGAATCAGAAATAAAAGTGACCCAACCTGACAAAAGTAGTCACTTAATGTAGAACCTCTTCTTAGTTTTAGAGCAGTAAAAAATAACGCAGAATGCAAATCAGCTGAGCCATTGAAATTGTTCACTCAAATAATGGTTCTTTTTCAACCGGAGTAATATCAAATCAAAATGTTCAGTAGTGTGTTCCTCTTGATACAATTTAAAATAGGAATTGCTGGAAACAATGACTTTAAGACCCGTTTTATTGGATCTGACCAAATGCAAATTGTGAATTTGAAATTCATTGCCAACTGACAGTTAAAATCTGGCCAGTATTGCTAAATTTGCAGAGTTGGTGTTAGTTTTTGACATTGCAAATAACTTCTGATATCCATTAAACATTCATAAATACCTCAGACAGTTTAGCCATTTTTATTGGTCAAGAGCCTGTTATGTGGCCAGTCTTAAAAGATTGATAAAGCACCTACTTGAGGAGGGACATATCGCAACATCGCCAGGAGGGTGTGTGAAAAAATATGACTTTGAATGGATGAACCAAATCATTGGAAATTACAATTTTGAACTTGTCTTGACTTTCTGAGTCTTAAACTGTATGCTTGGCTGGTCTTAAATTTGTCAAGACTGCCACAGGAGAATGGACATTAATTTAATGTCTCTTGCCACAGTCACTGTTGCTCTTATCTCCATAGAAAGCGATTGTGACTTGTCACAATAGGAACGCACCAGAAAAATGGCTGGAGGAGTAATCAGAAAAAGTAAAATTTTTGAACAGAATCATGAAAAATGTGTAATTTATTAACTTGTTTTGACTTTCTGGCTGGTGTGCTTGGCTGATAATGTCATCACCTGCAGCTTGGGCAGTAGTCACATCAATTCCCCTGAGCTGGCCTTCATCTGCTGTAGTGGGAAAAGTCAGGGGTGTAATTTGTTTAATGGAGAATATGCCCACTAAGTTGAACCCGCCTTTGAATTTGAACTAATACCAAACTTAATAACTTGAAATCAGACAAAACTGGTGTACATGTATTTGGATTTAATTTATTGACTACAAAAAATTGATACAGCGACTTTGAATGTTGGTCACTGAAGATGAAGAGCTGGCCTATTGGTTCATTAGCACAAACTTTTTGACAAAAGTTGTAAGACTGCCATGGTAGATAAAGATAATAGTTAAAGGGAAAAAAATAAAGTATTCAGATGTTTATTTTCAGTTTGATAACTGTGCCCCAAGGAACTTCTATGCTATACATGTACATGTAGTTATGAGGTTATGCGGGTACATGTACCTGTAAGTGATTTGTATCATGGATTCCATTCTATATGGAAGGGATAGGTGGAAATTTACTGGATGTGTCACACCTGAGGCATTCAAGGGCATGACCACAGCTGGCTGTGCCAGTGTGGCAAGAAGAGTGAACACCGTCACACCCTCATCAGAAACAATAATAGTTACAAGATGCATACACGTGCTAAAATTTTTGGCCATCCTTTGAAGAAAACTTATTGTTAGTGTAGAATTTTCTGCTATAATAAATTAAGCTATTTGCTTGTAAATGTTGTAATGCAGAGCTATGGAATTGGGTCCAGATTTCATGGCACAACAGAGAACACCAGTTTCTATCCACACATGACCTTTATCTATTGTGCAGAGTTTGAGCAAAATGCAAGTTAGCTTTCAGAGCAGAGAATGACCAAAAAAAGGCACATCCCTTCAGAAATCTCTATACCTGCACAAAAAACCCATCGAGATCATTAAAATCCCCTCAGATTTAATAAAAAAAGAAACATATACATGTAAATGCCATATTTGCCACAACATTTATGTTACATTGATCATCTCCTTGTAATTTGGAAAGCAAAGACAGGTGCAAGAGAAATCCTCAAGGAATAATATTTAAGGAATTGTTTAGCCTAACAGTTTGCTGAGGCCAGAAACATGCGTTTCAACAAAAACAGACTAATAATTGCCAAGCCAACCGTATTCTGACTTTGCTTTACCATATGCTGAAAATACCTTCTTTTGCTAGCCAAAAACCTATTGAAATAGTTAATGTACAAGTATTATACTAATCAGCAAAGGATTTGGCTATCGCACATGCCCTGCATCTGTTTATTTAGTTGTAAGGATTTGAATATGATTAATGTAGAAAATCTGAGCTGGCATTTTAAGCCTAGAATTGTGACCAAACCTGCAATTGTTTTGGCTAGCAAAGCCATGAAATATGTGCTGGATATAGTGTGCTTGCCACTGGTTCTAAATGAACTTTACTGATAGTGTAAATTTAGTTAACTGTGGTGTTTACGCCTTGTTTGGAATACTCAACAACGGCTGTTTTTGTTGTTTCTATTTTCATTTTCATTTCTCTCTCTTTTTTAAATTTCCAAACTGCAGTTACGCCACAAATCATTACTGGCCCAGGAAACCTGCGTGCTGGTCTTGGGTTCTCTGTTCTCCTTCCCTGTGTCACCACAGGTGATCCAGTCCCTACAGTCACATGGTACAAAGACAATGCAGAGATTGTGGTAACGCCTGGTGACCCTCAATACCTGAGGACTCAAGAGGGCCTAAATATCACACGAGTCAGGGTGCAAGACGGAGGCAGTTACCGTTGTCGGGCTACGAACAAGGCGGGGGCCAGTGAGAGCTCTGGAACACTAGTCGTAGAGAGTAAGTAAGTAGTTTCAATCGAATAGTTTGTGAAACTGACCCTCTGGGTACCAACAGTGAATTTGTTTAAAGTTACCTTGACCATATCCTGCCGGGGAGCCCGGTTTAGGGTACCTAGGGTTTGTACGCATAGCTGGGTGCTCGAAATCGGACAAAAGAGCTGTGGGCCTTGTAACAAAAGACCGTACTCTGAAAAAAAGACAGAGCTGCTGGGAAATGCCAGCATTTTTTCAGTTGTCAATAGCAGAGGAAATCTGTCATTGTTTTGAAAGATTGTACCACTGTTTGTGGCATTCAGTGCAAGCAGATTACCATCAGGGGCGAAAGTGCTCCAGCACTCCAATGATGAGCGATACAATACTGCTGCATGCTAATCTGGCCCATATTGAAAAGACCCAACAGGGCACTGTGCCAGTTTCGGGAACAAAAGAAACTTATGTAACACCACACAATCTGGGCTCTTTTTACAAGGCAGCAGGCCTGGCTAAAATACTCAGGCATCAGTAGATGTCTGTCAGATTAGAGTAGTCCCCAGACAGTCACTCCATGGGGTTTAGGCATTCAGGAAAAAAACGATAACTTAATTTTGAAGATTTTTGAAAACTGAAGATATTGAAAAATCACCCGTATGTTTGCACTGCATTTTTAAAAGCACCCAGCAGGAAATGGTTAATGTCGATGTGCAGCTTCAAACAGATATATTTCCACGTTATTGTCTCACCCACTTATGTAGACATCAACATAAGTTCAACTTGTGCATACATGTACTTGCATCAAATCAAACACTGTCACATTGGTACATGTTTGTACAAGGGTAGAACTTCTAAATGGTTGCTCCCAATAAGGTGGAATTTTAACTGTGTAAAGTGTTGAGCCCCTGAGGAAGACGTTTTGGATTTCAGAATTGGTGGCTTTCAACTTCTAGCTTGTACGTGTAGGTGTGTAGTGAGTATGCATGAGCTGAAACACGGGTGGTGCTTTTGATCTGTACCTTAATAGAGAATTTTGCCAAAGGAAATATAAATTCATATAATAGTTACAAATTTATGAAAAAGATGAATCTGCAAACCCAAACCCAATAACTATGCTACCCAAGGACATCCTTCCGTCATCCTTCAACCTAAATGTACCCATCATCCAGTTGAACCCACCCTATCTCTGTACACCTGTCCACCTGTATGTTTATTTCATTGGTCATTACCAAGTTTTCACACTGCTTTCCTTAATAGATTATTTGAAATTGTGGAAGAAATTTTCAAGTATCTTTGAATACAGCTTCCTTATTGCTATAGCTTGCCTGCCTGCATTTGAAGTTATTGGTGAACTAATCTGTTGCCCAGATGTTGCTCTTTCAAATCCTCTTTATTTTTTTATCATTAATTCCCTCCTTTTGGTAATTTACATGTAGCAATATCAATTCCAGACACAATACCTGCTTGGATCTTGTCTATGTGCTTACAAACATGTAGGAAAGTATTCTTACAAAAACATCCTGCCTACCTTTCATATTACACTGTACATGTACATCATAGTCTCTGTAGGTTTTCTGATACTTGCAGTACTAGTGGTTGGTGCTTTAATTTTGAGTGCTTTTTAATGTGATAATCCTTCTTGTGTGCATTAGTCACGCAGGGCAGTTTCTTTTTTTTGCCGCAACATTAATGAATTTCCACTATACCGCATAACTTTATAAATATCCCAGTGTATACATATACATGTACATGTAGGTTTCAGCTTTAGCAAAAGTCTTCAATTAAATGTCAAGTGGATGTGTGAAATTGAGTAAGTACACAAAGTTTGTCCAGGTACATGGGAGGAAGTGGCTGCTCAGTTGTAATTTGTTCAGTTAGGATCACAAATCTTGTTGCGTGAAAGGGTTTATCCCAGGTAAATATATCTGGTGCCATTAATGTTTATAATCACAGCAATTAATTTGTCAAGGCCTCCTGGTGGGGCTAAACGTAGTAACTGCCGGAAATCCATTCTAGTTGGTAGCCTCTGGGTAGCATCAAACAAGATGACATTATACAAGTTAAACCCAAAAGGTCTAGAGACCATCTCAAGTGGGAGGACTGATCCAGCAGCGTAACACAGTTGTTTTCTAAACAACGGTGGATCCAGATGCAAATTGATTAGGGGGAACAGATTCTGTGTAAACATTTTGTGGCCAATCTGAGGGTTGGGACTGAAATTTTGGGCTTGTGGCATGATTCTGGAGGGAACAAAAATGAAGTACGACTGTAGTCACAAGAAGAAGCCTTTCACATGACTAAAAACCAGAGAAGATTTTTTTTTGGGGGGAGTGGATAGGCACAGTTCACATTGCCCCCCCTTCTCTCGAGATTCTCCCATTGATGTTTCTGGATCCCCTTGCTGTACAGATACTGTACAATAGGGAAACTTGTTTACTTAGCAACAAAGTCCTGTGGGATCTCTTGTGTTATTGATTGTAACTGTATGCATTTGACATTTGAACAACTTCAAGGGGGCTCTGCAAAAGTGGCATTTGACTTTCCAAATAATCTCCTATTCAGTGTTTGGAGCTGGGGATGGGGTTTGATACTGCAACTCTTTAATTACTCCATCACTCTTGTAATAATGGCATCCAAGTTTGTTGAGGCTGTTCATGTCGTTGTGGGATGAGGGAGGGAGAACATTGAAATTGTCACAAATTCAAGGCTTATTTTGCATTGCTGTTGGCAGCAGAACTTTAGTCAGAAAAGAAGCCAGCTTTAATATTCCTGGGGAGCATTGTGCGAAACATTGGGTCAGTGCCTTAGTCACGCTTTTTTTATCAGGTGGTTTTCATATATGTGTATGCATTGGGCTTTCACTTACAATTGGCATTGCTGAAATCCAGTAAGATAGCTTATTTCAAATTGAAATGTTCTAAGGCTTGCTGGTTCTTGGAACTGCCCAATAAACAACTGTCAGAAGAGGAGGTTATCATCTGCTTTGAGCAGAAACATCCCCGTCATTGGTTGAAAAGAGCCATGTCAGTGGGGAGTATTCATGTTTTTGGTAGCATTGCGACTGCAGTGCATGCATTTCACAGTTGTTTGTGAACCAGCAAGTGCAATTCCTGACAGAGGAGCCTCTGTGGCTAGGAAAAATGCGCCCTCCCTTGGTCCCACTCAGGGTCCATCGCTGTGCCGCAGATTCATCTGATTTGTTTGTTCCCAGTTTATTCGGAAAGCAAAGTTATCTTGCTGTTTGTCCAGGGGAGACTTGGCAGACACTTTGATGTCCTGGACTGGTTCGTGACTGGATGAGAAACATGTTTATGTTTTGGGTCATTGCTTGGGCATTTTTAGCCGCTTCTGCTTTGGCTGTATGATGCCATTGTTCTGACCACCGAAGCTTAGCATTGGCTTAGTGCTGGTTTGACCAGACAGAAATTAAGCAGTTAATTAAACTAAACTCTGTATTGAAGAGAAACCATAATTATGAGATAAGAAGCTCTCTGACCATGGGTGATACTCATGATTGGGGACCATAACCATAGAAGTGACTTGCAATTGTTAGTAACCACTGGATAATGGGCTGGGATTGCTCATTATCCAGACATTAGTAGTGCTTGACAGATGCCCACAATGAGGATCCAGTATGTACGCCAACATTGCTCAGAAGTTGGGGTCATTTCTGATGAGTCAGTGTTTGGAGGAATTGGGGACTAGGCATTATCTTTCTTCACCTTCTTGTTACCGCTTTGGCCTTAAACAGTTCTTGGGCCAAACAGGGGTCAAGATGCCCGGATGCAGATTGCACAGGTGTATGTATGCCCACAGAGGGAGACAGTGTCTGGCAGTGGATTACTGCTAATCCCCATTCCTGGGCTGATCCAGAAGGCCTTAGCGGGCTGTGAAGCTTAGAAAGTCTAGGGAGGAGACCCACTTTATCACACCCTCATGATGTGGTGTAAAGTGGCATTTTAAGTCAGACATCTTAAGGTAAAACTAAAACAATGCTACATAGACTGCTTCTTGATATTTATGACAGCAACCACTCAAGCTGCTCATTTCTTGCATTTTGAAGGAAACTTTCAAGTTACCCCCCTCTGTTTACAAAGTTTGGCCTTTATCAATCTCGGTAAAAAATATTCCACAAATCCAGGCTGCAGACTTTCATTTGACTAAACTTTTTGGCCCCATTGGTATTTCATATTATAACAAGCATTACCATAATGCATCAGGGGTGCCTACATCAAAGCATGGCAACAACTAGTAATTAAGATTGCTTATGAAAGGAAGTGAGGTCCAATCAAGGTTATGCAGCACTGACTATGAAATTACCCATCTACGGTCGCAGGCCGTCCTTATCACCAGCTAAGGATGCACACAGCCTTCAGGCTGCCTGTTGCAATCTGCCGCAGGATGGATACAGTTCGTGTGGAAGTTTGCATGATGATCGCAGTAACTTGCCAGACCTGATAAGCAGCTCTTCAAATTATGCATGTGCATTGCCACTTATCAGATACCCCTAAAACAGCCATTTTTACCTTTTATTTTGACCATCTCATTCCCCGCTCAGCTCTTGGTTGTGCAGTGACAAATTTTATTGAAACTTAGCATGAACTCTGCCATGTTGCTGTTTTAACATTGTATTTAGACAAAGCTTCTTCACTCACTGGTCTTTTAGAACTACATGTACCAATGCCTCAATACAATATTTTTCCTGAGTACGGCTAATGGAAAGATTGACAGTTTTTGCATCTTGTATAAAATTGGACCCATTTCCAAGAAATATGTGTTCTTATTTTTGATAATTGATGTAAAAATTTGGTCAACTGTTACAAGAAAGTGAGTGCCATTGGAGCTGTCCATGCTCTACCGTGCTCCATTTGGAGGTATTGATATTCTCTTTGCATGAGTGAAGAACTTCGGAGGTTTTTGTAGGAAGCTGTGTGCATCTACACATATGCATGAAATGCAAGTGACCAAATTCACTGCTAAAGGAATGTAGGCACATACATGTGTGATGGAAAATATTGGAAAGTGCTC